GTTCAGCCTCTGGCATCGCGGACATGAGCTACGACAGCATCGTATAAATCAATTCAGTTGTGTCAACGCACAATAACAAACACAGTGCTTTTGTGAGCAGATGTGTTGATGTGCTGACATTTCAAAAGGCTAAAGGGCTCACATTAAACTAGCTCCATGACGTATTACTGTCACAGATTTTCATGTCACAAACACCGGCGGTCTTTTATCAACCGAAGGACAAATTAAGCGACAACTTTGACTGAAGTGAACGGCATTTTGTGGCTAAAGTAAAGAAATAAAAAACAACACATTGTCATTAACATGTATTTAACGCAGCGCTAATGAAACTCCTCTCACTGCACTCATCTGATAAGTAATGCTCTGAAAACCCGTCTTCATTTTGTGAGTCATCACACCTGCGCTGCATGCATCATGCTAGCTATTTCTGGATGTGTGCTCATGCCTTTTCACCTGGTTTCTCTTTTCTACCGTCTTTACCTAGACATACAGTGTAGGGGAAGAAAAAAAAATATATACATATATAAAGGCACACAGCAACTGAAAAGCAGACTTTGGCAATTAGACACCCCCAAAACACTGCAAATACTCTCTACAGCTGCTCGTCTCGTGGCCTCTCCATCTCCCTCCACTTAAACAAATATATCTTTCTTCTGGGTTGTCAGCACTCCTGTTTCAAGAGTGATGAGTGTATTAGCTGAAGGAGTTTATTATTACAGGCGTGTAAATGGCACGTATTATAACAATTACCTATGAAAACAGGTATGTGGGACAGGTCAGTTGTCTCACGGCGCCCTGTTTTTAAAGAACTAATTACAAGCAATTGAGTCAAGGTCGCCGCCGTCAATCATTGGCCCCGGCCACTCCCTTGCAATGGATGCAGTAGGCGTGAGGTGACTGCTCGCTTTATGCGCGAATACAAAAAGTAAACTCTTGAACGTGGAACAGTTGTAGATGTCTTAAAGTAAGGGCTTTTTTTTCAATAACCTGAAAATGCAAATGCGTCATATAAAAAAGTGTCGGGTTGTTACTCAAACGCTGCGATACACAATTTCACGTCTCTCCTCAGGGATACATTGGGTAGTTTGATGAAGCCACAAATGCAGCAGTGATGGTCGTATCCCCCTCTTTTGTTTTATAATCAAGATTACTGCCATTGTTCTCCTGAGAATGAGCAGTTTGGATGTTCAACAATCCATCAGTGTCAAGGAAGCCAAACCGCTGGAGAATAATTTTACAGATTCTGGGGGTTTTTACAACTGTTTTTCCCAGTAGGTGATACATTTGGATGAAAATGTTCAGAGGCAGAGTGTATTTCAACCAGCATTGTTGTAGATAAATGACAGAAAAGTAACAACTTCTTCATATCATCCTGACCATTGTTGTAAAACGTTAAGGTTACATAATAAGCCATTCAACCGATGGGTTTTGCGATGTGGATTTGTGGGGACGCAATTAGCACACACACACATACACACACACAGTAAAGCAGACAAAAGGACGGAAAATCCCTCATCTGTGCTCGGTGTCTGCAATGAGAAGTGGTGGCGTGACTAAGACGAAGACCCAGTTGTGTCACTTTACAACAGTTCAGCTCTCTCTCTCTCCCTCTCTCTCTCTCCTGTTCCTTCTCCCTTTTCTCTGAGACACACCTAGAACCTGTCACATAGTTGGAGTCTGTCATCCCACCCATCCCTCTCTCCCAGTTCCTTGTCCTAACCTCAATATATTGAGGCTACTCTTTGGTGTAAATTCAAAACACATGGAAAAATTCTCATTTAATAACAAAGTTATGGGCAAAACATTATTTATTTTAAAATAATTCTTCAAACATGAAGGGTTTCATGAGGGTTTGTTTATCATAAAAACACACTGTGACTAGATGTCACGGAAAAAGAATTTTCCTGATCGGTGCCCAAAGGAAAAATACTGCATTTTACTTTATTTTAATAGCTTGAAAGTAAACCAGATTTTGTTTTGTGTTTTTTTATGTTTATCCAACACTGTCACTTTTAATGAAGTACAAGAGAACAGTTATCCAAAAACATTAGCTGCCCTTTTAAGCCAACATGGGTGGGATTTTATCCTCCTCACAGAATCCCACTAAAAATGATTTGGCATTTGAGGCCCCAGATGAATTTGGATAAATGGAGCCCAGTGTTACCTACACTACCTACAGGTAGTCAGATTTCTTCCTCCTCCTGCTCCCCCGTCCCCCCAAACCTCCCCTCTTCCTTTGACTAACAGATCTCCCCAGCGTTCTAAAAATACCAGGTGAACAGGGCCGTAGAGATGGTGATGAAACTGCCTCTCTGACACTGTCCTACTGCAATCCATCTCTCCACCGCCTGCCAGCCAGCATATGTTTGCAATTGGCTCCCCTCAACAGCCCCCCTCTCTATCCCCTCCCATCTACCCCAACTGCCCCCCACCCCACCCTACCCCCCTCAAACATACACACATTTTCTCCATCCTTTTCCTTTTTCTCTCCCATTCTCCCTCCGCTACCAAGTCTCCAGTTCAGGGCATTCAAACCAGAGTAGTTATCAATCACTGAGGCACAACTGTCACATCAGACCAAACACCTGACACACACAAACAAACACACACACACAAACGCACACTTCCTCTTTCTTCTCTCCATTTCCTCTCCTTCTTTTTCCTTTCATCTCACCTCCGTCTGTTTTGTTTGTCATCCCTCACTCTCCTCTCCTCCTTCCTCCGTCTTTCACTAACTCCTCTTCCATCTTCCGTCCTCTGCCTCCTCTCGTACACTTGCCCAAATTTGTTCCACTTAATAAGCCCTCCCCACTGACCTTGTGCTAATTAAACTGCACTGTGTTGAAAATATGATGGTTAATTAATGATGAGATAAATTCTGTCTGCAGGACTGTCAGAAAGATGATGACACCACGTTTTACAGGTTTAAATAGAACAAACCTTGTGGCTGTCCTCACTCTGAGTGCACACACGAGGGGGTTTCTGCATGCGTGCGTTTGTATGTCTGTGCAAGTGAATGAGTGAAGAAAAGAAGGAGACAAAGAAATCAAGAAGATACAACTATTTGGATCAGTATATAATCACATTTTTTAGTGAGCAATTAGTGCACAAACATAACTGTACCTCACACTACACCTGCTGTGTCCAGGACAAGCACTGACTTGTGATATAATGATTCTTTTGAGGGCTCAGCAGAGTGTGTGTAAAGAACTTTCAGGTAACACACAGACCTTAGAACTTCATTCACACACACTCTCCTAACATGTCAGTTTGAGTGACCTTTTCTGTTATAATAGTAGAAGCAGTAACATTAAAAGGAAACGAGTTTGAGAAAGGTTACATATAGGTACATATTTAGATGTTTTTAAGGAAATACGCCTATCCCATTCAAGGAGCTTCTGAAATCCATATGGACTTGAAACTGTAGGTATTTGGTGTTTGAGGGCTGAAACCCAGATCAGAGACTTGTTTTGTTGAAATGCTTAGTTTCATCTCGTTTAGAATCCAAATGAATCTAGACTAAAACTGACACCTACATTTTAGTTAAAGAATATTGTTATGATCTATCTAGGTCCAGTTCCTACTGTGGGTGATATTGATCCTGAAGGCCAAAACAAGCTTGGCTATGTACAGATCTGACGGATCCACTTCACCATTGCAGCCTAATAGATAAGTCATCTGTCAGTGAAATTTATTTCACAAACTCTTATTGATGACCATAGGTCACTAAAGTATAGATTGTCGTGTTGATTTCAACTTTGATTCAAACCTGCCTCCTTTCCTATCAGGGAATACTGCAATTGCCAAGGGAATGACAGCAGGGTGAGGTGGGGGGGTGCATTTAAAATGCAGGCGCAATACCTGCCTCTGAACCTCAGCTGGGATAATCTGTGGACAGCACTTTTCCTTCACAAACACCCAAAGCTGATGCGTTACTAGGCAAGACCTGGGAACCTAAGTTGAAACTCCTACTGCTCTGTTTAATTCCAGGATTTAATCCTGAGGATCAAATAATGATAATAATAATAAATATTTTACAGGACGGTACGATAAACTTCTCTCAATAAAAATGTGGATAAAGCAGAGCCTCTGTGTATTAAGGTTTATATATATTTTTTTTCATCTAATCCAGATGAACAGCTGACAGTAGGAATTTGGCTGATAATGTCTGCAAGATCCAGAGGCATTCGGTCGGGCTGCTTACTTCCATATCTGAAACAACTTGTCATATTTAATACCACATGTCGACAAAAGTATCAATTTGGTTGCAGAGTAATGAAAAAACGAGTCTGTTTCTATTTTAGAGGCCAGCTTGACAGATTGAGAGGTGTTTAACGTCTCGTTTTGGCTTGTCAGGGTAGCAAGAAGGGGGGGGGGGGACTTCACAACTTCATCTCGCACACATATACAAGCACTGACAGCAGGGCTCTGCCTCTGATAGACAGGGCCAAGCGGGAGACATTACACATACGCAGAAACACATCCTCACATGCACAGACAAAAATGGTAAGAGAAACATCATTCACCCTCAAACCAAGAGGAAGAGCAAGAAGTAAGATGAGGGGGCCACTCAGATAAAGTTTGACAGACGAAAAGGGGATGTGAGCAAAAGAGTCAGACAGACAGAATGACTGAAGGATATTTAACTCATTAGAGAAAAGACGGCTCCTCAGTTATATGTAACCCCAAGTTTAACCAGCAACGACTTGGAGCTTTTAAAAGCTTGAAGACCACCACTGAGGATGTTCAAACCGGCTGCAGATCTCACTCTAATATCATGAAATAAGTTATGTAGCTTGTCTGATCCATGAGGGGGCAACAGATAGGATTCAAACTCTCATTTTCAGATATTTATCTGTGCTTAAAGTTAAATGTATGCTGCCAAGCTGCTGACAGCCTGGCAGCATACATGCAGTAATTGGTTTAGTTTTTCTATGTTTTTTGATCAAATTGTGATACTTAATAATTGTCTGAAGAGTGAAGGTGTAAATCACACGTACCTCTCTTTACGCTGTCCGACTCCATGTTTGCCCAGCATGTGGGTGCTGAGGTGTTTCTTCATCACAAAGGCCCAGCTACAAAAACATAAAGACAAAAATAATAATTAGAATAAGAAGGCCTAGAAACGACGTCCTGATGTTGTCGAGGGCCTCGCGTTTTACCATGTCTACTAAACAGCAAATGAAAACATAATGAACGGATGACAGGGATAACTGCTGCGACATCCAAGCTGCCTCACCAGTGTTTTCATCCCTTGGCCTTTTCATTTAGCAACCATCACTTCCTATTATTGTGCAACTGAGAGACAATGACCACATCTGAGAGCCAAGGATGGAGCGACATGAAAGGAGCTTAGGGAGTTGAACCAACAGTCATGTGGTTGGCTCTGTCCCTGCACACACCCGGGTTGTCCTCTGCATTTTTGCTTAGTTTTATTCATTTTTTTCTCATTTAACTTTTTCTTCTTTCCCATAGATCATTTTAATGACTACGGGCCCAACCATGAATTTCCCATGCTTCTCTTTTGACTTTCAATGTCAGAGCATCATGAAGCAAAACTATAATTATTTTACCAATTATGTCCCCATGTCAAAGAACTCCCTCAACATTCCCCCACCACACACACATGCACACACACACACACACACACACACATACATAAACATGGCAGTGTCCTCCATCAAGGCCTCAAAGTCCCCGTCCGTCATCTGGACCCCTGAGGCCGATGCTAACTAACACCATCATATAAATATTCAAACATTCCGCTGTTTTGCCTCGTTATCATCACTCTGCATTTTCTCCGTTCTCTCTAACTCAATCCATCCACCCGTCCAGATTGTTGCCTCCAAGACAAACTGGGAGCAAGCGGATGACTAAATCTTGCACAGTCCAATCAGGGAAAATGGCAAGATCAAAATGCCGAGCTTTTCTGGCCCAGTGAAAGCACCACTGACGGCGCCATCTATAAATAAACAAAGAGCATAATTAAGATATTTCTGTGGGGGCGGGGTGAGGGAACGAATCAATATATTTTAAAGAACAGCGCAGCCTTGAAATACTTTACGCACACTTGTTTAAGACGGCGTGTTTAGACGCGGAGAAAAAAAGAGCTTGCAAACATTTCTGTTAATTATGTATTACAGCTGTCCTTCATAAACCTAATTACAGAGTGCTGAAAGGCAACAGGGGCAATTTGCATATGTGCATGAAAGACAAGACATATGCAAAATATGATTTTAATTAGCATTCTTTGATAGCGAGGGGTACAAATCAAACTGGCATGTTGCGAGATTCTCATCTCACCCCTGTTTTACTGGATTATTCCAAGAGTGGCACGTGTGGAAGATGGGTAATGCCCTGTGGAGCCACCTGGCAAAGGCTGCACACATGTGTGCACACACAAAATTTGCACAGCAACATCACCACTCAGGACTTCATATGAATACACACAAATAGGCAACACTTAACACTCTGAGAGTTATCTTTTTGTCAAATGATTAACTCAAAGGATCATTGTCCATAAGATTTAAAAACACACACACAGGAAGAGGGAGAAGGAGAAATCCTCTCTTTGCAAAGCTCATAATATATTATTTAAAATAAGAAGGATCGCTAGTCTGTTGTGCAATGTTTGTGAAGTCAAAAGGTTTGGGAATATTCTGTGTCAAAATATTGTGTGGCAGATCTTTTTAGGCAACCCTTTTTGTAATGTATAATGTACACTTGTACCTGGTGGTCTTTCTGTAAGGACTTTGCATGTTCTCCACATTAATGCCTGGGTTTTCACCGTATTCTGGTTTTCTCTTAAAGACCTTCAGATTGTGAAGTAGGCATATTGTCCCTTTACTGCCCTTAAAAGGATTAGGGTGACCAGGTTAGCAATGTTTAGTCACTGGTTACGGGAATATATGCAAATATGTGTACATGTGCTGGTGCGCACACATGGAGTGGGAAATACAGGGAGGAAGAGAGAATTATATATCTAAATGTTAGCGGACCAAAGCCATTGGTTTAAGGCAGTGTGAAATCAGCCTCATGCCCTTGGTGTGTGGGTGTGTGCATGTGTGTGTGTGTGTGTGGATATTCTGCCATCCAGGTCAAGGCCTCCGCTTGTCCTCCTGCTGCCTTGGGCTGCATCATCAGCCTGAACCATCAGGCTTGATGGTTATTGTAACAAAGGGATACTTTAACATGCCATTCATCCATATCAATTCACTTCCCCACATGAATTGAACTAATAAGGCTGTGCCTCTGCCCTCCAGGGAGGCTCATAATATCCATTGCAGATATAAAGAAAAAAAAAAAAAAAAAGATAGAAAAAGAACGGCGGCGGCTCTGGTGTTTCACGTTCGACTTTCCCTTCAGACTAATCGGCGCGCCACAGCTCGTTAGGTCCGTGACGTGCCGGAGCTTTACCGATAAGCAGGGGAGACACGGCTCAATTACCCACAGTTACAATCATTCTCTCTCTCTTTCCTTGTGCTGCCTGAAGATGAAGAGATAACTTGTCAATATTTGACACAAACAAATTCATTTGCCTAATGCTATTCCTGAATGTGGCCCATCTACAGGTCCAGAAGGAACGGAAGATCTAAGAAAAAGCCTGAAGAAAGACTCGGCTTAGATGAACCAAAGAGTGCCAACCCCCAAATTACCTATTTCTGAAATCTGTGCACGATAAAGCTTGCTCAGATGGAGCCAGGTCAGATGTGACACCCTTTTCTTGAGTTAGTTTAAGCTGTTTTCTTATGTTTTGACAGTCAACCTTGAGAGGTTAAAAAGGACAAATGTCCTGTAGTCTTTACTTGACTCTGACATCTCTGCACACACACTGCTGTTTAGAAAAAACACACCAGATGGCATCAGGTTCCAGACTGGCAGAGGAATTGCCAAAGAAAATGAAGAATATATAGCGCATGAACAGAAAGACACTATAGTTTATATGTATAAAGTCAGAAGTCAAACACAAGTCATTTCAAAACACAAAGGAAACTACAGTAAACACAGGTACCGCTGTAGGGTCTTTGTCTACAAGTATGTTTGTATGAGGCAAAAGTTTGTGATCAATTGACAATGTCTTATTTTTCTTTTGGAACAAATAAAACATTGAGTTTTGTCTGCCTGCTGTGATCCACCGCAACGTAAACACATCATTGAAAAAGCTGTGAGGTGAAAAATGAAGCCGGAGCAGAACAAACGTCTGTATTGTAAATGGTTAAAAGGTAACTGAAAAGCCATTAGGAGGGAGCTACCAGATGCAGGAACCACTCAACCCTCACCAGATGAAGCCACCAAAACCTTGGGAAGCAGAGAGGTTCCGTGGGGGAAAGATAAAAATGGAGGTGGTGATGGGCTCTGAAGGTATGGGACCACTGCTGCCTCTCTTTTTAAGTAGACACCCACACATACACAAACACACACACACACATACGCTCTTAGCAGTGGTCCACTGGGCCCCAGAGAAATGAGCGTGTGCGGCCTCATCCAGTCTCCTGTGCCAGTCCTAATGATGGCCTCCACCTGCTGCTTTAATGTCACAGCTGGATCGCCCTCCATCCCTCACTGACTCTGGCTGCCATCAACAGCAGGTAGCACCCTCTGCACAACACTCCAGCACTCTTCATCTGCTGCTTCCATCTCCCTTCACTTCCATCTGCGGCTTCTCTCACCACTCATCTCAACAATGAATCTTCCCTGTCCATTTCTTCACAAGACCTTTGTCCATAACCATGTCCTACAATATCTCACCTCCAATGTTGCCGTCCAATGAGTATATAGTCTTATTACACTCCACCTTTCATCCATTGTCTTCCTGTCCAGATCTGAAACTAACTCCTGTGTGATGAAGGTGACGGATGTGATCTGAAACTAACTCCTGTGTGATGAAAGTGACGGATGTACTTCAAGGTTTTTTTTTTTTTTTTTTATCATGAAACACCTTCGAAAAAAATCAATACAAAAAAGTTTGGTCTATCTGTATTTTGTACTATGACCATGACAGATATTTTGTATGACACAGTGTTGTTAGTAGTGGTCATTTTGTAAGTTCTGAATTAATTATAACTTAGTCCAAATTTAGTCAACAAAACTCGTTTTGTTTATGTCCTCTACATATCCAAATTATTTTAGTTGACTAAATTTAAATTAGGGCTGTTGACAAAAATAAAAAGAGTAATAGTCTAATATTTAAGTTTGTTATAATAAAGTATAATTTGGGATATTATGTAAATAAATAAGTGTTCCTCATTGGTTCCTACAGTTTATGTGACAAATCTCTGACAGACTTTGCTCATATTTTTGTTTTGATTTTTTTTTTCATTAAGGTAGGAGTGGTGTTCAATTTTATTGCATTGTTAAAAGTGAGTTTTTTCAGAGAATAATATTGTCTGAAAGATATGTCTAGTTTTAGATAGAGGAAATGATCCAGTGGTATTAGTATATGTACTTCTTCAGCTGCAAACATAATTATACGTTTATTGTTAGCTACAGAGTTTCCAAGCAGAAGAACAGAACATTTAATGTCACAACTGCAACCGTTCTTTTAAGTAAACACAACATGTTTTCTTTTTTCTTTGTCTGTTTATTTATTTTTGTCTGAATCTACCAGAAAGAAGAAAGAAAGAAACCTCAAGGTAAGTTGACATATCTAATCTGAGACGCTTTGACAGGCAGGTGAACTGACGCAAAATCAGACACTAACACTTGGCTGACAGCAACCCTGGAGCACTGAGACAGCTGCCGACATGTCAGACAGACAGATAAACAGACAGGAACAAGAAGAGGGGAGATAAGACATTTATTGACAGACAGAGCGACTGTCTCACCTGACAGAGAGACAGACAGGAAGACATCGAGAATGACGGCCGAGGAAGAAGAAATTCTGCTGAGTTTACAGGCTGGGTTTGAGGGATGTTCTACAAGCTGGGCTGTAGCAGTAGATGGGCTGAACTAAATGTGGTGTCAAATTTGCAGATGTAGAGATAGATGGTGATGGAAGGATGGAGCGAGAAAAGCCACGGGGGAGAAGGGAGGGAAATAAAAGAATATGAAAAATCATGATGGAGTGCGGAGATAA